GCAGGGGTTGTCACCCAAAATGACACCTCTTTGGAGGGGAGGTGGGGAAAGGGTCTTCTGCCACCAACTTTGTGGAAGGAGAAGGCTTTTAGCTGGCTTTGCAATAGGCCGAGCACGCTGTCGAGGCACGTGTGGTTTCGTGTTGTGTCTTCCTGTGTCACCTACTTGACCCTGGACTTGTCTTTCAGTTGATGGTGAGGTTTATTGACGCTAAAATATTATTGTAGTCGATGATGCAACTTCACACAAAGCTAAGGCAGCCCTGTTAACTGTTTGCACGGGTGGGTCGTGCCGTCAGGCTGTGAGCATGGCAGGGGGACAGTGCTTCAGGTACCCATTGCCAGTTTACTCCTCTTCTCATTGTTACCGCCTCCAGACATGTGCTGTTGCTGCCATGACAATGCAAGCTTTTCGTGAAAAGTACAAGCAAACTATCAGAAATAGGGAGTGGACTCCAGTCCCAATCCTAGCTTACAGGTAAAGCAAGGTGCAGGTGGAGTGTGGTGGTGGCTGATTGGCCTGTGTAGTTTCAAGAACACCCATTAATAAAGTGTTTAAAATCAAAAGTCTTGGGCTTTTTTAAATTCTAAAGATCCCTGTCCATTAACATGGGCCATCATGCTTCAAGAGGGGATAATCCCCCAAAGTCAGCACTAGCAGCTGCAAGTCCTAAGCAGTGTTTCTGAAAAAATACTTAAGGGGGGGTGGGCAAGGAGGTTTTTAGAAGGCATCCATGAGGTCTGCACAGCCCTCACCATGGAGTGAGGTAAACTGATTGTCCATATGAGAGCCAGTTTTTCACCTTTTCACTGTAGTAGCAGGAAAACGGGAAGTTAATACCAGAAGTCAGAAGTGCACTCTTTTAACTAGTTCTTGGAAATTGGCTGTTTTATAAAGTTATTTTTCTTGCAAAAGGAAAAGAAAAATAGAAAAAATTACAGTTCTTGCTACATGCCTGGCCTTTAGTAAATAAAGCTGTGGTTGCTTATACAGAATCAAAGCAGAGTAAATCGCATGCAAATATAGTAATTATCACTCTTATGTGCAAATATCAGGCTTTTCAATCCATTTAATTGTGGAAGATGAACAGATAGTCTTTTAATACTTAAGGCTTAACTCCAACAATAACAAAAAAAAAGAAAATAGCTATTCCACACAAGATAGTCTCCACAGGTGGAATATTAATTTGAAAAAACAGCCCTTTTCAAGGCTTTTACTAACTTTTCATATTAGAATAGTAATGGCAGTTCAGGTCTTTGTAATCCCTATCTGCTTTGCTTTCTTATAGGTCAACACCTGATATACAAAGAATGCTAAGGTTCTAGAAGCATCACATTCAAATCAACAATTCTTTATGCACTTTTAATGAAGTCCTTCAGCCTTGAAATAAATCAAAATGACTAAAAGAAAGAGATTTTTCTCCTGTATCTTAATGAGTTAATTTCTCCCACCTGCAGGATTTCCTCCAAAGCAAGCACCAAGTTTATTTTTACAGCTGAATTCCCAAATAACAGGTCAGTGAGGGGATGGGAATGTTTGCTGAAACTGGGGATTTCATGTTCTGTTTTTCAGTAATGATAGGTTTCTTTGAGAATTATTCTGGTAGTTGAGTATAGTGGCTATTGAAGATTTTGGGAAATTAAATACTTTATTTAAAAAGAAGAAAGAAAAAATGCTGGCTTTAGAAAAGTCAGAAAGTTAGAAAAGAAGCCTTATTTTTTCCAAGGTAAATTTCTTCTGTTACCTTCCGAGTCATCTATCACCCCCCCAAGGGATATAGTTCATTTTCTGAGCCCTTAAAATAGATTTTTGTAATGGGTTTGTTCCTCATCAGATATTTTCATTCTCTACCTGCCTTAAAAGGCCTTAAATTCTTCTAGTTACTGCTTGATTGCTTCATTTCATATTATTTCATATTACACGTGTCTTGGCTGAGAAGAATGTTGAAGCATTAGGGTTTTTTTCTTCAAAGAGAAATTTTGGCATGCAGATTTGAACAAGAGTGCTGAAAGATCCAAGCTCGTGCTTCTGATTACATAGCAATTACTAACTGCAATTGTTGACTCTTCTAGTTACAAATAGTAGAGCTGACAGGAAACGCATTTTTTGCCAAGCAGAATGCAGGACAGCTCTTTAAAGTTTCAATATTCAGTAGTTTAAAAGGTGGATGAAGAAATGAGCTGAGGAAGGGGAAGGTCAGCTTATAATATGAACACTAATTTTATTAAAGCTTCAAGAGAGAAAGCGTAAGGCATACTGCCAGGCAGTATTTTTGCTTGTTTATTATAACTGGTTCATTTCTCATTTGCATGTTATGTGTAATTTGAGTTTGCATTAAAACTTGCATAATTTTTTATTATAGTTGGGTTTGGGTGGTGGGTTTCTTTATGTTGCAATTTGGTTTTCTAAATACT